GGTAAAAAGAGATATGCGAGTTTCCCTAGATGGGACAGCATCCCAGGTACAAAAAAATAAAATATAAAGGAACTATATATGCACTTGGCCGATGCCACCATTTGTTTGTTTTTTTTTTTACGTTTTTTTTTAAACCTCCTGGTATCTTCATTTTACATTAAAAACAAAACTATATCTCGAACGAAAACTGTTTACAGTGAAAAAAAAAATCTTTCACTAGTAAAATCATTGCTTCATTGCTTATTTCAGAGTTCGAACCCGTATGTTGCAGGTGCGTTCTACTCTCATTTTAATGGACTGGGACTTCCAGTTTTTCTTCCTAAGGCCATGTGGTTCTCTCTGGGCACTCCTTCTTCCTCCACTAATAAAATCTGGCCGCCAAGAAATAGCAATAGTACTGAAAGTGGCGTTAAACACCAAAATCAATAAATCAAGCATTGTTTAGTTCAGACGTTTCCTACACATATCATTGTTTTGTTAAACAAGAAAATATTGACCAAAATTTTAATTTGACTATAACAATTTTCCTACATCGTATAACTATATACATGTATCTGGAATATGACTGTAATATTTGCCGCTGTACATGAATCAGCTTTATCAATTTAACATGTTTTAAATACCTTGAAGAATTGATAATATTAAATAATTGTATACCGGTATATTTCTAGTGAACTATTTGTAAGAAAAGAATTATGATGAGAAGGATTTAAGAGTTGCAAGGTTAAAGCAATATGGGTAGGACCTGCGTAAGAAGGTCGGTGTGTCCATCACTATTTATGTGTGGCGACCTTCTATTTAAGTCTTTACTAAATGTTTAACTTTTTAAAAGTCATTTAAGTTCGTGCTCTAAATTTACGTCGACACCCTATAATAAAGAATATTTATTTTTAATAGAGAAGGGTGCTTTTTTATGAACAAGGATTGCAAAATTTCTCGGAATGTATCGCGCAGCCACTATTTGAATGCATCTTTCAGTACCTGAATAAACATGTCTTTGGGAAACAGAAATGTTTGCTACACTGACAGTGTCTGTAAAGATCCTACATGCAAAAACGACACAAATATCGACAGAGTAACGTCCCCGCTAACCTTAAGTCTGCAGGTTTCAGCTCTGGAGTTCCCAGTGAAGACATTTTTTTTTTACGTTCACAGTTAACAAAATGAAACAAAAGTTGAAAATCGAGGCACATCTTGACATATTCTCGTGTGTTATTCTGAACTGATTAGACATAAAATGAAGTCATAAGGCACATGTGAAAAGTCACACTTTTAACCTACGATAATCTTTTTCGCTGTTTAAATAGACAAAGTTGCTCTTCATTCAACTTTGACACATAGTCCCACAATGCCATCTGCAAATTAAAAAAAAAAGATGATGTATTTCACTATAAAAGAAAAAAAAACAACAAATTATTTTCAGCCATAGATTTTGTATCAAAAGTCACCGCATTTATAGTTTACATACATCAAAATGACAGAAACTATATTTATTGACAACAGATTACGAGGGATGAAACAGGTCATTTTTGAAAATTAAGTCAAATGGTCTGTTTTCTATTTATTTCTTTGACTTTTCACTTTAGTGGGCATGCAATAAAAGCTTAACTGCATGTTTGAAAATATATATGTGTGCACCAAAAAGAAAATGTTGGGTAAACATCAATGAGACAGCAACCTAGCTACAAAAATAACCAAAAAGACATGTGCACGTTTGACGGTAAAAAGAGATATGCGAGTTTCCCTAAATGAGACTGCATCCCAACGACAGCAAAAGATAATTATGAATGAACTATTCACTTGGCTGATGACTCCATTTGTTTGGGTTTTTTTTTTGCGATTCTCTTTAAAACCTCTGGATACCTTCAATTTACATAATAAAAAACAAAACTATATCTCGAACGAAAACTGTATACAGTGAAAAAAAGTTTCTGTCATTAGTAAAATTATTGCTTCATTGCTTATTTCAGAGTTCGAACCCCATATGTTGCAGGTGCGTTCGACTCTAATTTTAATCGACTGGGATTGCCAGTTTTTCTTCCTAGTAAGTCAAATGGTTGTCTCCGAGCACTCGGACCTGCTCTACTAATAAAATCTGGCCGCCAAATAATAGCCAATAGTGCTGAAATTGGCGTTAAACACCAAAAATCAATAAATAAATCATTGTTTTGTTAAGCAAGAAATTATTTACAAAAATCTTGATTTGACTATAACAATTTTCCCGCATCATATAACTATGTACATGTATCTGGAATACGACTGAAATATTTGCTGCTGGACATGATTCAGCTTTATCAATTTAACATGTTTTTGATTGAATACCTTGAAGAATTGATATATAACTTTAAATATGTGTATACTGGTATGTTTTTGTGGACTATTTGTAAGGAAAGAAGTAAGATGAGGAGGAATTTAAGATTTGCAAGGTTAAAGCAATATGGATTGGGCCTATGTTAAAAGGTCAGTGTGTCCATTTTCCTTTACGTACACATACATGGAAGAAAGAGATATCAGGCCACAGAACCATAAGATAACTTTAATTATTTTTGCCCAGTACACAGATAATGAGCGTTTTAGATCAACATCGATACACATTTCATTATGTTAGGAGTTTGAAATACATGTATTTATGGACAGGATTTTGAACCAATATCTTAAATTTGAATTTTCCTTTTAGCAATCTTTTGAAGTCTAAGTTAGTTCAAAGTAAAGCATAGCCGATGTCTATTGCAAAAATACAAGTGGACTGTTTCGACATCCTCGGCGTTATAGAAACCCCAAACTTCGCATGCTTTTGAAATTTTACGACCTACGTACACATCAAATAGAGACAGGAGAGAATGCGTACCGACTGATATCATTTCCATTGAATGATTATGAAAAGTATCCGTAATTTACAAAGTAAGGCGTATAAGAACTTGTTTTTGTCAAACGGGACAACTATCCATTTGACAAAAAAATGACGTAGGTGTAAGCAACTATAGGTCATCGTACAGCCTTCAACAATGAGTAAACCCATACCGTGTAGTAGGCTGTGGCACTAGTCATGTTTCTAATGTAAGTACAAATTCGGTGATAACTATAATTCGGTGCTGTCGCATTTGAGGAAAAGAAGGCATATTGTTTGCTCTTTTTCCTTAATTTCTTTAAGTTTGAATTCGTTAGCTCAACGATTTCTGTTCTCAATAAACCATTTTGTTTTAAGTTTGAATTCGTTAGCTCAATGATTTCTGTTCTCAATAAATTATTTTGTTTTAAGTTTGAATTCGTTAGCTCAATGATTTCTGTTCTCAATAAACTATTTTGTTTCAAGTTTGAATTCGTTAGCTCAATGATTTCTGTTCTCAATAAACTATTTTGTTCTAAGTTTGAATTCGTTAGCTCAATGATTTCTGTTCTCAATAAACTATTTTGTTTTAAGTTTGAATTCGTTAGCTCAATGATTTCTGTTCTCAATAAATTATTGTGTTCTAAGTTTGAATTAGTTAGCTCAATGAATTCTGTTCTCAATAAACTACAATGTATTTTGTTTTAAGTTTGACTTGGTTAGCTCTCTGATTTCTGTTCTCAATAAACTATTTTGTTTTAAGTTCTAATTGGTTAGCTCATTGATTTCTGTTGTCAATAAACTATTTTGTTTTAAAGTCCCTCAACTTATCGAGTTTAAAAAGTGAAGAGTTTTGATCGATAAAATATATTTTGTATAATATACTATAATAGTTTTTAAAGGTAGAATTTGTCACTTAACTTATCGAGAATAAAAAGATGATGGTTGAAATCTCGAGAAACTAGTTTTATATCAGATACCATTTGTCATTCAACTTATCGAAATTCAAAAGATTGAGATCTCGAGAAAATAGTTTGTCTCCTTTCATATGCTGTTCTTAGTCAGAAACATATTCAGTTGTTTTCTTTTTGTATATCTTACGTTTTTTTTTGTGTTTTTTTGTTGTTGTTCTTTTGGGGGGGGGGGGTTGATGTTAATGGCAGATGGTTGATAATCTTTCTAGAATTCGTTCACATCTTTCTTTTTTTTTTAAAAGGGTCGAATCAGAAATTGAGATAGCTATAGTTAACGCCTGTCTTTATTATTAAAGACTGTTATTAACCGCGAGGTGTCTTTTGGTGGGTAGCTGTCTCATTGACACAAACCAAACATGTCCTTTTATTACTATCATGTTCTGCTATTTATAAGATTTAGTTGATAGTGATTGAATTTCCTTTATTTTTGAGAATTGTGTTTCCCTTATACCCTCAAGTGCTACTACGTGTCCTGCTCGAAAAAGTCTTTCTACATATTTGGCATAGAGCAAAGTAAGAAATTTCCATTTAACATTTCGGAGTATTTTATAGCTTACTATGCGGTATGGGTTTTGTTCATTGTTGAAGGCCGTACGGTGGGTGACCTGTAGTTGTTAGCTTCTATGTCATTTCGTCTCTGGTGGAGAGTTGTCTCATTGAGATTCATACTACATCTTCTTTTTTTTATTTATATTCTCCAGAGAGTGCATATACGGAACATAATGATACTGTTTAATTGTTTATTGATATTAACAATTAAAGTATAAAAATAAGAAGATGCCAATGAGACAACTCTCCACCAGAGACCAAATGACATAGAAGTTAACAACTATTAATAGGTAACCCAAGTACGGCCTTCAACAATGAGCAAAACTCATATCGCATAGTCAGCTATAAAAGGCCCCGACATGATGTATATTTTTAATATTGAGTTAAAAACAAAGTAAACGGCACATAATAAAATATGTTCTTTGGATATGGCATTTTGCACCATGTAACTTTGAATTTCATGACCTCCATTCTTGTAGCAAAACTTAATTGAACTTTGACTAAATATTAGAAAATGAAATATAGGCCTAATGCAATTGTTTGCTACTCAATACACTTACACAATAAAAGAGAATTAATGGACACAATTTAGTCCATCATGTACATTGAACGGTTTAATTTATTATCAAGAAATGATACATGAAAATAGGCTTGAATATATTTATTTGTACATAAAATTAACATTTAGATGGTGGAGATGGTGGCAGTTGATTGTTGATAGCAAAATGGTAAAGACCTGAAATAAGAAAAAATGTAATGAGATATAGAAAACAAGTATAAGTTTCATCAGTACTTTAAAGTCATATATTTGCATGAATCATTTTAATACAAAAGAGTCCTTAAACATACCTTTAAAGTGTATAGTTTGCTGGGTCAATAACAAATTGATAAATATTTGGTGTTGATAGCAGATTGAAAACTTGCCTTGAACCAGGGTGATGTAAACTTGATATACAGATTTGTTTTCTAAATAATTCAGACATGAGGGTTGAGATCTCACAAAACATATTTAACCCCGCCGCATTTTAGCGCTTGTCCCAAGTCAGTAACCTCTAGAATTTGTTAGTCTTGTGTGTGTGTGTTTTTTTTTTTTTTTTAGTTCATTTGTATTATTCGGAGTTTTGTTTTGCGTCCATTTTGCGAAACTAGTATACATTTTTGTTTAGGGGTCAGTTAAGCCGGCCTACGGGTGCGGGGTTTTCTCGCTGTGTTGAAGACCCATTGTTGGCCTTGGGCTGTTTTCTTCTCTTTAGTCGGGTTATTGTATCTTTGGCACATCTTCTGTTTCCATTCTCTATTCTATTGCATATCATCAAACACTATTTTTTGACCTTAAAAAGTGTTTGTGTGTATATGGTTATCATTGTGTTTATATGTGTGTGTCATTGGATTCATGATCGTTCGTGTATACCTCATGTCTTCTTTCATTCATGTACAATATATATATAAATGTTTAATAAAAATACTTATTACGTATTTATGTTGATTTATGTTAAATTATGAAAGGAAGGATAGTATTATTACATTTATCATATAAACTCGATCTAAGCACACTTCGAGATGCTGAATGTTTTTTAAATAGTTGTTACAAAGTTAAGCTAACCAATGTCATGTTATTCAAATTTTATTTGTATAATGCACTTCCTTGGATCCCGGTTTATTTGTATATTGCGTTTTCTCTTTATTTCCAGTGTTAGTACAATTGTGAAGCAAATTAGCTTAAAATGCATCATTCCACTATATATTGGTCTAAAAGAAGATTCTAGCTGCACGTGGAATAAAAACAAAACTTTAAAAAATTGTTATAAAGGAAATATGATATACCTGCGCATGCTCCTTGAAATCCTGCATTATAATCACATGCCACTTCGTTTTTGACGTAATCTCCACGATTATCAGAATAGTCATCATTCTGTCCAGGTCCTCCAACAAGAGCACCATTTAGCTGATTGGGACTATTCTGCCACTCAGGAGCACACCATCCAGGTTTACAGGATCTATAAAAACAGATTTATAGTGCTTTAGAATAAATAGTCTCTGTTGAATTTATTAACCACTTAATAGATTCGGAACGATTTAGACCTTGACATATTATAGTAGAAAAACGCCTTTTGTTGAAGACCGTTTTAATAAGATGACCCCTAGATAACTTCTGGTTTTTCACCATTTAGATGACGTATTCCTCATATCTCCTAATATTTATAGTTGAAAAGACGTACGTCATCTAGAAAAGGATCCAGAAGACTTAGAATGCTAGCTTCTTTTCTGAGTTTTACACTGAACGAAATATATTTTTTAACTATGTTTTCCATTCATTAACACTTAACGGTTAAGAAACACTTACGCTCCTCTGTGATGCGGCTTATGAGGGAAATTGCCACCAAAACCTATTTCATAACTGATGTGACGATTGTTATCTCCAAGGATATAATTTATTTGTGTCATGGCCCATTTTAGGTAATCAGCGCCACCTATTCCATCAGCAGCCGCCATCACAGCAATAAATGCAGCATTTCCTATTGAAATGACAACAAATTTATCAGTGACAGAGCAGAACATCTTGCTAAAACATTATTTTACACAGACTATATTTATAGGGTTCCTTTGTATCAGTGAATGTACACACTTCTAAATAACTGTAGTTGGCTTTAAATTTAGAAAATTACAGATATAGAACTCAATTTGACGCACAATATGCACATTTCGAAAACAAAATGTTGCTTGAAACCAAATATTATAGATCCAAAAGTATTAAAAAATGAAAACCAATAACATCCACCAAAACAAATTAAGAAACGTGGGTGAATCAGGAGAACTATATTAGACACACAACAAGTTTATCATCTTTCGGTCGACTGAAAGTTCAAACTAAATATGTTACATACGGAGTATATATGAATAATTCTATTTTTATTTTAGAATATAGAGTTGGGAAGAAAACGCCAGTATGTCAGACTGATCCTCTTGCTCGTTGTTTTTTCTCACAAAGGTCAACATGTAGTATACCCTACTTTTTTATGTAGAAAGGAAATTGGCGTCCATAGTATAACCCCTACACAAGTACGCATAATTATATCGGCCACATCTATCAAGGAATCTTTGAGTAAAGAATGCATTTACCTGCATATCTGTTAGATCCCCACTTATCCCGATATACAAGTCCACATGGAGTATAAGGAACACCGCCGCCTGGTTTATAGGAATTAACAAAAGCTTCCACCGGAGCTTTGTATTGGCCATCCTGAGTTGCCTCCCACAACAAAAGCTGTAACAGAAAGAAATTTATACGGTTATTAATTTGTAGGCAGGTACGATGTATTATCAGTCTCATGGTATTACTGTTTAGATTAAAATTGACTTAAGTTATCTAACAAATATCGGAATGTGCCCCGATCATTCGTTGTTGCAGGCAGTAAAATGGCCTATAGTGGCGTACATCCTCGTCATTTGGACTCTGGCTGATAGTTGTGTCACTGGCAATCATCACCACATCTCATTGATTTATCTTAAGTTGACTGTTAGTTAAGTAAACGAAACGCTTTTGTATTGATATTTTTCACCTGCAGATCGTCTCCAACACGAATCAAAACCTTATACTACAGCACAAGTTCAAGACCGTAAGCTCATTTGGAAGACAAACACCAGTGTTTGGTAGTATGAAAAAACGAATGTTGCCATAATTTGCAAAACAAATTCATTCTATATACATTTGTTGTAAGAGTGCAAAATTGAATTCAACAATTTGACAAGATCAGGGCACATTTACATGTAGATAGATAGTTGTTTTATAACTCGACAGAAACTAGTATAGGACCAGTTTAATTTGCATATATATAACTCTGATGTTTTGACGTATTCCGTCGCTATTAACCATTTAGTTATAACGGTATCTCCATTACTAAATAATTTGAAATAAGTGTTGCAAATTTTAGCTCAATTTTGATATTGACCTAGAATTAAACTTAATTACTGATATAAGAATATGTTTGCAAATGTCTAAACATTCAAGACTTGTTAATCAAAATGTTCTCGATAGAACATACGCAATTCTAAATAATAAATATTCAATCATTCCGCGGTGTTGCCTTTTTGCTCTTGAAATAATTTCAAGATGTGTCGTACCTGGCATCCTACAGTTTTGTCGTCCCAAGAATAACCCCATGCGGTACCGCCGCTAAACCATTGTTTAGCGTCATTAAGGTACTGTTGATCACCGGTTGCCTTAAACAGTTCTGCTGCTGCTTCACACATCTCGTCTTTCCATCCGTTTGACCTAGAATTAACGTTTGATAACACTAACTCTAAAATTATTTGACACAGCAAGAAGAAACAGAATTTGATCAGCAAGTTCCAAAACATAATAAAGACGAGTAAAGTAAAGAATGGAAGTAAATTTTATATATAATATGTTTGCTGTTTTGTTTTTTGTGTTTTTTTTTTTAGTAATAACAGCTTGTAACACCACTTTCGGCGACTTTGGCTTTACTATGGCGGCCTGTTTTGGAAAATTCTGAATATTCAGTATATTTTTTATCCGTCTTGACGAACTCTTGCTGTTTCCGGTGGCGCCGATTGCGGAATCAACAATTTACAAAAAATGTGAGGTATCAAGTAAGGGAACTTATTGATATTTGTTTGGCAGTTATATTAATATCGGTACGTATCATTTCCACATACATTATTTGTACCCTCCCCCTCAAGTCAGGGGTAACAGACTTTGAAACAATTGTATATTTCACATCTTGGAGTGCATTTAAATTTCATTTTTACATTATTGTTTTGGAATTACAAACAGGCTAGACATGTCTCGTTATATATATTTCACTTCCAGAGCAAATTGTACTGCTACTATTTGTTTGATGAAAAGAAGATTACCCATAAAAGTCCTTTGCCTGTGGTACACTGTTTGAGTATATTCCCGGATGGGATTTAGCGAATTGGTAAATAGATTTAGCAGCATCCAGCAACCTTCCGGCATAACCAGCATCTGATAATATTACCCGTTAAGAAATGGTTAATTTTGTTTTATAAAGTGAGAATTCTTAAGATTTTGTCGTGTTCATGAGGGCATTGAATATAGACATTGGAAAATCAAGACTATTTTCACCGAATCAATAATCGTCAATAAAGCTTATTAATGTTTAGAACACGACCTTTGCTCATAGGTGACATGTAGCTGCTAAATTTATTTGGTCACTGGTGGAAAGTTATCTTATTGGCAAACATGCCACATCTGGAGCAGGATCTGCTTATCCTTCCGGAGCACCTGAGATCACCCCCAGTTTTTGGTGGGGTTCGTGTTACTCAGTCTTTAGTTTTCTATGTTGTGTTTTGTGTACTGTTGTTTGTCTGTTGATCTTTTTCTTTTTTATCCTTGGCATTGTCAGTTTATTTTCTACTTATAAGTTTGAACGTCCCTTTGTATATTTCGCCTCTCTTTATTATTTCTATTACAATGACATTACACAAACAGAAGGAGGTGTGATATTGGCCAATTTATCAACAGAACATCACAGAGAATCTTGTGAATTAATGAAACAGAGATACTATGATCAAAGATATGATTTATTCTTATTCACTTAATTCTTGAAAAAAAAAATCCATTAAGATACTTTCAAAGGCATCCTCTGAGTAAATTTAGGCACTTATCCATGAACCCTGCTTAAAATTTATTGATTTCTATTGAATACGAAATAAAACTTACTGATTCAATAACTTTTCAAAGTTTGTTTTTTTTAATTTTAGTTCATTTATATGTTTTGGAGTTTAGTGTGACGTCCATTTTCACTGTACTAGTACACAATTATATTTAGGGGCCAGCTGAGGAACACCTCCGGGTGCGGGATTTTCTCGCTGCGTTGAAGACCCATTGGTGGCCTTCGGCTGTTGTCTGCTCTTTGGTCGGGTTGTTGTCTCTTTGACATATTCCCCATTTCCATTCTCAATTTTATTGTTCTTTCTTTTGCGGTGGAAAATTTGCTTGTGTGTGTGTGTTTTTTTTTTTCGTTTTTGACTACTTGAAAATTTAACAAGAAACATGATAATTTACTTATTTGATCTTAACATTTCTCCACGAAGAAATGACAAAATAAAAACAAATAATATGTTTTAGTAGAAGCATATCTAATATTAAATGCAGTTCTAAAATTGTTTTTATAATTTCCAATCAACAACGCCGACCTTATAATTTAAAAATTTAAACTGACCTTTGTCTTTCCAAACAATTGCTCCAATAGCAAATGCTGATGCAGTGTTACCAGCTACGTCACTTCCTGGATTCCCTGGTGTTATTTTGAATGCTGGTCTGCCCATGTGCATGTCCTCTGGTCTTCCCCAAAATCCATGATCAGCGTGACCATCCCCAACCTAGTATATATAAAAGTAAGGCTGAAGATACCAAAGTTCATACAAGTCGAAAAGTTAAAAAAAAAACTCTAATTGACAAACAACAGTTTATTAAACACAACATAGAAAACATAAGACCGAGCAACACGAATCGCACAAAAAACCGGCGGTAACCCCCTTTGCCTTGGAAGTGTTATAAATAACAATAAGAAGGGTTAAAAAATAATAGAAGACCAAAACTAAAAAAACCAGCAACAACAAAAACAAAAAACAAAATAAATAACAATTCAACGCAAAAACAAGCAAACAACAAGCAAACAAATATACAAATATAAACACAAACAATCGAACAAGCAAACAAACAAACATTTAAACCATGAATAAACCACATTTAAACTAGTATATAATAAAAAATCAAACTGCCCAGAAAATTATTTGCATTTGCTCAGTTTGAAAGATTTCCAAGCTATTCATGAACGCACGGAGTATAAGACCTTTAGGAACAAAAATATCTAAAGAAGGATCTGGAATAAATAGAAATTCTAAAATACTATTCTTGTGATGTAAAACTTCATAATCATTGTCATAACGATTTCTTTGTTGATGACAACCAACGCCCAAATCAAACGTGTACTGTACATGAACTAGCATGAACTAGGAAAGGTACTTAGGATACTAATAATGTTTTCTTTGTAAATATTTAGATAAAATAAAGATCCGACGCATTATGCAAAAGGGCATAACATTGCTAGAAGTAAAATGAGTTCCAGATGTGTACCAGAATGAACATCTTCATTTGTTGACGTATATCTATAAGATCAGTGTACAGTGTAATCACTTGTCTTGAAACTGCATTGCATGTGCTACGTGATACGTATAGCATTTAATTTACCTGAACCCAATATGTCTGCTTGTTAGGTTCCCAACATTTCAAGAAGTAGTCAAGTGGCCATTTTAACATGTCATACATCATGTCAAGCTGTCCAGCTCTTTCATATGCATCTTTAAACTTCTGTAGTCCCCATCCCAAAACATGCGCAGAGTAAGACATTGGAAAATTGAATTTAACATGGTCTCCAGCTATAATGAAAGAAAACTGTATTGATACGGTGTTCGGCTGTAATGAAAATGAACTTCATTGACACGGTGTCTGGTTGTAATGAAAGATAACTTTATTGACACGGTGTGTGGCTGTAAGGAAAGATAACTTTTTAAATAGGGTATCTAGCTGTAAAGAACGATAACTTTATTGATACGGTGTTGTTGTTAATCTCTGCTCACCATCGAACAATAGACTAAGTCTATTATTCAGATTTCTCCAGTAGATACAATTGGGGCATTAGCTAGTGTCATTTCCACATACTTTTGTTTTCATTTTCCTTTTTTTTTAATGAAATTGATATTTACTTGTGTTCATACAGTTATTTTTTCTAGCAAACAAAACGTAAATATAATGCATAAATAGGAAATCAGGAATCACCAAAAATACTGAACAGTACAACAGATCACATTAACCACTAACACCCGACTCCTCCAAACAATAAAAGACATACTAAAGACGAAGAACAATTCATGGTCTAGATAGCTTGACTTGGTACAGACTCAACATGTGGCGAGATTAAAAAAGTTTAAGTGAATCTCTCCCGTTAATGCATTTCAAATTTCCGGCCGTAGAAGATAAGAAGAACATACGAAGTACCCATGTATTACACTCACACTTTTATCCACGGAAAACAGGCGAGAAAAAAATTTTCATTTCACCATTACTTGTACTTTTGAAATCTCTCTTAAAAGGTTTATAAAAAAGTTTTGAGAGTTTATGCATTTCAAAACATTATTTGATCTTATGTCTGCGTTGTCATCATATACATTGTAAACCTACCGTCATACCATCCTCCTGAGAGGTCGTGTCCGTCACCATTGTCTCCCAAAGCTGAGTCCCCACGCCATGGAATAGGATTGTTTGTGCCAGAAAGTCGACCAGACCTTTGTGCATCAAAGAACAGAATAGATAGTGTCATAGCTTTAGAATAATCATGTTTCATCTGTGATCCACCTGATAAAAAAGGTCAGAAATGTATGCTATAAAATATTCATTTAGAATAGTTCAAGCAGAACAATGGACGGTAAAAATACGATTAAACGTGCAAATTTTCTCGGATTTTTTTTGGGTAAATTACTTCGTAGTACATTATACATTGAAAGAAGTATATTGACTGAGGACAAAGTCCGGGCCTATATACTTCTTTAGGTCGATATATCCTCGTATCGACACCATACAAAGGCTGATACGAGTGTATATCGACCTGAAAGAAGTATATTGACTGACGGCGAAGTCCGAGGTCGATATACTTCTTTATGTCGATGTATCCTCGTATCGACCTCATACAAAGGCTACAATTTTTATATTATTATTGTCAATATATACAAGCCAGAAGAAGAGCACCAATTCTTTAGATTGGTTGTTTCTATCGTGTCAGATATTCTAAAAAAATAACCGTGCAATATCACTTTTCTAAAAATAACCGTGCAATATCACTTTTCTATCTGTCTACCTTTGAAAATATAGTTGAACATGTGACTCTTTCTGAACGAGTCAAATTAGTTAGAATATACACAATAATAATAATTACTAATACAGTTTTATCACAAGTTTTTTACATTTTTATTATTTTACTATCAAAGGGAGTGTTTCTACACACCTTGACCTGTGTACGGAGGTACACTAGGTCCACCACCTATATTAGATCCACTTCCTGTTCCAGTACCGGTTTGACCTCCGCCTCCTGTGTTAGTTCCGCCACTTCCCAATGCTCCTGCTCCTCCGACAACAATTGTTCCTGAAGGAGGATTTGTCATTCCGCGTTTGTCACCTTGAAATTCTATTTTGATTTCATCGTTTTTAGCTACATCAGCAGAAAACCCTTTGTTCTTAATTACAAACGTATTGCCAGCACTTGATGACACAATATCAGCTGCCCAAATCTATAAAATATATTAGTACAAAAATGAGGATTTGTGATCTGATAGCCTCAAAAGTTAAAATGAAGTGGTAGTAGTAAGCAATTATAGGCCATCTTACGGCCTATAACAATGAGAAAAAACATACCGTACAGTCGGCTATAAAAGGCCACGACATGAAAAATGTGAAACAATTCAAGCGAGAAAACTAACGGCCTAGTTTATAACAAATCAATTTACAACAAGAAAGGCGCTTCGGACGCATGAAATTTATATCGTGTTGTTTTCATTATTTACAAAAAACTAATATTACAGATATGAACCAACGACAACCACTAGATTTGTTTGTATAAAATAATCAGCTTATATTTGGTAAACTTTGCATGGATTTCATTTTTTGGTGCTTTTCAGTGGGTTTTACATTAATTTTATTCATTAAATGAAATAAACAAACAAAAAACCTTAGCACACATTATCCCAAAAAAGCTCTTCAAAGATACAAGGCTTATAATTTTATACGTCAGACACGCATTTCGTCTATAAAATACTCATCAGTGACCCTCGAATAAAGACAGTTAAGAGCCAAATAAAGTACGAATCGCTTTTATTGAAATTCTATGCATCACTTTCAGATTGATTAGGAGCATTAAGGACCCTAAAAGAGTTCGAACTTTGTAGTGGCGTTAATATTGGTGCATATCTTTGTTTGGAATTTTGCTTTCATATGCACGTAACACAAAGATCTTTCACACACAAAATGAAGGTATATTGAGACCATGTTTTTGCCCCTTGAATTCGAAATTCAAAAAGTATTGTAACACCTTTTCAATATTTGAATTTTATCTTGAATATTTATTTACACAAGGGCCGTTTTAAAAGCCTTGTATTAAATGCAAAACTGTACAAACTAACATTACAGATTCACTTTGAAATCTCATGAGTCAAAAATGACATACTAGTGACACCACTCATTTATTTTTTGCACATATGTGTCAAGAGATAATATTATCATCCTAACCAGTAAAACTAAACATATTTTTGAGAGGACTGAAGAAATTTACTTATTTATAATTTTAGAGGCCTAATAATGGTTTTTGTGCCTCCTCATTACTTTTCTGCTTAATATTTTGATTTGCAACTTTTATATGAGAAGCTCCAGAGTTCAACAACGGTTTTTGGTGAGGTTCGTGCTTTCTTATCTTTAGGGGACTGTTGTTTGTTTTTCAACGATTTTCTTTTGGTCATGGTGGTGTCTATTCTTATTCGACTTCTGGATTTTAAAATTATTTCATAACTTTATTTTCAAAAGTCAAAAGCAACAGTTTCCCCCATAAGTTCTTAAATTTAGGCAGCAGTAATTTTGTGATGTTAACAAAATAAAAATTTGAGAGAATCGCATGAACACAAAAAAGGAACGAGACCGGCTATGCTGAAAGTGTAAAAAGTAAAATAACAAAAACACCGAACTCCAAGGAAAATTCAAAACGGAAAGTCCCTTATCAAATGGCAAAATCTAAAGTTCAAACACACCAAACCACTGGAAAACAACTGTCATATTCCTGACTTGATATAGCCATTTCCTTATGTAGAAAATGGTAAGCATCTCCTGCTATGGATGCATTAACAGCCACGCGAATCCACAATTAATCAAAATGTCATAGTCGAGGATAGGACACAATCGGTACAGATCAGACGACTCTTCTAGTACATAATAAAAAGACCGCGAAACAGATCAGACGACTCTTCTAGTACATAATGAAAAGACTCTTCTAGTACATAATAAAAAGACCGCGAAACATGTCGCTAGTGAGTTGAGACACAGACACATCATTTATCGATCAACCTATTCGTGATGTTGACCGTTAAACTTATGGGTGTGTCGATTTCAGTCGTTCGTCTTCAGCAGTTTGTGTAAGGAGCATATCCCTGTTAATGTCATTATGAGGTTCCATTTATGTGAACATACACGAGCGTGACGTATTAATTGTGATATGTAAACGCCAAATGAGGGCAGAAGGTATTTATTTTAGTTTCGAGAAGTGGAAGTTGACATATTGAAAAATTGAAATCATCACATTAATTTCAAGTTAAATGGGATATATGAGAGGCAACCATTCTGTGAATTGTAGGTTATTGAGTGACATTATACCAACAATATCTGAAAGTGAACTTTGGAAGATGCTTTTTCCTTTATATTTTGAGAAGGTTCTGTATGCATATTGCTATAAATATAAGCAGATATATATATATCTTATAAGGCCCCTCCTTTAAATAATTGATAACAGTTTCAGATAGAAAGTGAAGCTTTCAATTTTAACTGAAAGGATGGTCAGGAACTATACAGGAACTGGACAGAAAAACACAAAAAAAAACATAAGAACAAACAAATGGAAGAGTAAACTCAAGTATTCTAAATATAATATGTATTGAATTTTTCCTGTCCATTCGTTTTCCCTATTTTACCAAATTTTTATTATTATGTAAAAAGTATACGAATTAGTCAATAGTGTTCTGATTTCTAAGTAATCATTCAAAATTTGATATGGTTTAAAAGTTTCTGTCTACTGGAGATATTGGTTTTCAATAGGATGTTTAGTTTCTAAATAACCACTGTATGCATCAATCTATATGTGCATATGTCAGGACAAATCGTTCTAAGGAAATATACCTTTATTTTCTAATTTTCCTAATTTAAACAAAAATTTTGATGATTGTAACGACCAAGATTTCTCTTCTTTGTATACTAGTCCTGTATTGTTCAGTTGATGTTATAACATACCGCTTATAAATATGATGCTCTGTCTAGTTCTGTCATATCTGCCTGGGTTTTATGATGTTTTCACTACAGCTATACAATGTACACTTGGCTTTGGGTGGCTTTGACACATGATGGCTGTAAACATTTACGTCTGTCTTATGTACAGTGTTTTGACGGGTTTATAGGTCATGATGCATATCTCACTTGTTACTGTTGGTGGTCAGCCAAACTATTCATGCGGCATCAAAGCCCAAGAACGAATAGGATAAATGTTTGGGAAGTCACAATTATAAAATGTTTAAAATGATTTATAAAGGGATATAAAAAGAACAGTGAACACTGTCTAAGGTTTATTATCACTTACATTAACAGGCGATTTTGATTGTTTTTTTTTATATGTCATATATGTTTTTCTTTAATTTTGATTTGAAATTTCAACGTACAGTTAATTTGTCGACTCCTTCGCTTAGAGTAAGCGTGGCATTCCATCCATGCAGTGTATGGTCTGGTCTTAAGATGAAGTAACCATGAAATCCACCAGGCCATTTCTGTGTTATGTAAACACCTTGATTTTCAGCGTTTACATTTGACAAAGATGCCAGTAATGCAGCAACCAGTAGCTCTTTCATCCTTCAAGATGAACAAATACACCAATATGATAAGTAAAACAGCTATTAAGCAAATCTTGATGATAAGATATATAATTTATAATATTTAAATCATTACATTGTTACCTTTCAAGTGACAATTGTCCCGTTAAATTGAAGTACATTAGGAATAAAGATAACTCAAACAAGTCAGTTATGCATTACAAATGTAACAAAAAAATTGTTCCGGCGTGAAATTTGGTGAGGAACAAATCTCACAAACCAAGAGCTTATTTCACCAGATAAGGAACAAATCTCATAAACCCGGAACTTATTTCACCAGGTAAGGAAAATATTTCACCAACCCGGTACTTATTTCACCAGGTAAAGTGTGGAACTTATTTTATAGAGATGGAACAAATTATATAGAAATCATCTGTGAAAAAAGTTCTCCCAGAACATATTTCCTGTGATATTAGTTCCACTGGAACTTTTTTCACAGGAACAAATTTTGGCTCACACAAATACCTGTTTCAAAGTACTAAGTAAAAACCAATTGGTGAACAACATTTTAATGCATGAAATAGCAGATAAACAAAAAAATTGAAAAAAGGTCACGTTCTAGGTTTTTATTTCGTTTCAATGTGGAACGACCTACGTTTATGACAAACATGCTTTTTAATCAATTCAAACTGCTCAATATTCCTTTTGGCTTCTTACTTATAACAGATTTCAAAATGATATGCACTCTAGATTTAATAAAAAGTAGTATGATTGGTATCTGCAATTTATTAGACAAAAAACTTATTTCTTAAAAAGCCAGAGCTAAAAGTTGTTCATAATGTTCATGCTCTGTGTAATACAATGTATAAATTACAGATACCCATCATACTACTCTCCATTAAATCTAGAATTCATAACTATTCACGTTTAAATATGTGACAACTTTACGACAGACGTTCTTCATCGGATAACCTGTGTTTATACAGGGCTAACACCACATATATGCAAAGCCTGCGCACACATATTCTCAAGCAATCACAAGCAAACATTTAGATTCGTTTTTACTATATTTTTTCAAATAAGTATTCTAAAATCAAAGATATATTCAGTTTAAACTCGTTTTATGTCATTGTGTAATATTTGCTTTGAAACCAACAGTAATATAGTTTGAAGATCAGATACATATGCTTACCTGTCAAATGGGTGTCTTGTTTAATGTCTTATTTTAAGATCAAGTGTCTTTATATTATGAAAATTTTATACAGATTTTCTGAACCCTGGAACTTCACCTGTCTTCTTATCTCTCGATAAATCCTTCATACATTTGAAACGTTCTAAGGTTAAAGAGTATCACTTTAAATAATAGGATATATGCTTAAATATGTTCCCATAACGAAAAATTGGAAATACAACGATTAATAATATAGGTGGCACGGTAGTATTTCCTGGCCCATAAGGGATAATGATAGCCTTTTTAGAATTTTCACCACATTCTAACACTGCTAAAAATTCTACATTCACAGTTAACTGAAGTACTTTCATTTTACTAT